TAGAGGGTCTGCGCGTCTAGTGAGCCTCAAATACTTCGTGTTTAGCGTTCATTTTATTCTTTCTCTATGTCAATCAATAGAAACTGAATATGCAGTGTGCCATTGAATTGTGCCTTGCCAGTCTGTATGTACAGGATATCAGAATAAACGTTGACGCAAACTGAAACGGCGCTATATAAGTAAAGACTTAGTCCAACGTCAAAGTTGAAAGTTTCAATTATAAATATGTTCAGATGAAAAATTGACAACGTAATACTCGAAAACGTTTATGTAAAACGAAAAAAGAATCCAGTTCACAAACAGAGAAAAAAAAATAAAACTAAGTTTGTGAATAGAAAGTTTCGGATGTCTTTTTAGTATGGCCATTTTTTATATCTAATAGTTTCAGTTGTTGGAGTTGGTCCTTGTCAGGCTTGATATGTAAAGATGATATTGGAAACGGTTGAACAATAACTAAATTATCTAACCTCTTGACTCAAGAAACATTTTTTAAATAAAGAAACATCTTGATGATTTCTAAAGGTTCACGGTTAATGTTTTTTGTGAAGCACATTCCTAAGCCTGTCACTTTCATATTAGATGAGCTAGTGAGATCAATCAATAGTCATTTTGTCAGACACTGTTTTTGTTGAAATTAATTTTTCAATTTTTGAATCATTGATCGTTATAGAATCATATTTTCTATCAAGACGATAGATAGTGTTTTCTTTAGCAATACGTGATACATCCTTATCAAGATCAAAATAACTTTCAGAAACTTCCACTTTGGCAACACCAAATAGTATACTAACTTTGAAACTACCCTTCATTTTCAATTGTTCTGATTTTTCTGAATATGTGTTTGAATAATCTAATTTATTTATTCCTTATTAACGTGGTCAATTATTTCAATGAGATCAGACGGTAACTTAGTCGTAAACACAGATATTCCATAAAAACTATCTGCAAGAATATCATACAGTGAAATAGCACCTTTGCAAAAAAAGTTTTGAAATAGCACCTTTCATTAATTGTTAAATTAAAGTTTTCCATTTCGTCAAATGTGAACACTGAAAGACTTCAAATATCAATCATTTCACAAATATATTTTCGCATTCAAGCTTTAACGTTAAACAAAAACCTGCTTACGAACGCACAGTAGCATTTCTTTTCTTATCGTAGAACGGATGACCGTCTCCCAGAAAAAGAATGGACGCTAAGACTATTCATCAGCTTTTACATCAACTAGAATAACTTCTCATGTCTGCGTGCGCTATTTCATATTGTTGAAATCTTCATTTATAGTAGATGAAAATCTTTACTGGGAAACCCTTTATGAATCGTTTAACGAAAGATTTTTTGATCAGTCAAAATTTATTTATTATAGTTATAGTGATTTCAAGTCTAAGAAAACTCAATTTTTTAAGTTTAAAATTTAAATTCAAAAATCAATAAAAGGTGCTTTTTCGAAAATAATCCCTGAAGTGTTCTAAATACGATTACTTTATTGAAAAGCTCATATTCTAGCGGGATTTTTTATAAAGTACAATTTATTTGCAATCAGGTCGGAAACCCTACATAGAGAACATAGCGTTTTGGCTATTTACAGCTTCTATTGAAGTTAAGATTGCATCAGATTCTTTTCTGCCTTACCGTAGAATGTTGTGTGAAGATCCCCAGACATCGCACACCTGACCTACGCAACTTTTCATTCTAAGAATAATTCGGAAATTCAAAAGTTTTCTAAAGACCTCTAACAACTCTGAAACCTATCTCACGAGGGAAGGCCCCCAACTGTCAAATCGCTTTCGAACTGAAACTCAGTGGGCAATAGGTAATAGAGGGTGCTGAATCCGAATATCAGAACCGTTTGTGCCAACGTTAGGTTTTTCGAAACTCTAAAAAATAACCAAAACCTTTTCTTGATGATGCATGTTTGAAGCCCGCACATTTTTGATTAAAATGAGACGTTCCCCAGCTCTACACGACCTTTCTTTACAAAGTTATAGAATTTAAAAGGAAAGCCCTAAATTAATTTCTTCTTATTTCTGTAACTTTGAGCTGACAGTGAACATTTAGGGCTTTTCTTGTAAATTCTATAACTTTGTAAAGGAAGATCGTGTAGAGCTGGCGAACGTCTCATTTTAATCAGAAATGTGCGGGCTATAATCATGCATCATCAAGAAAAGGTTTTGGTTCCTTTTTAGAGTTTCTAAAAACCTGGTTTTCCAGAAAACCAGCTCAAAATCCAGCGTTGGCACAAACGGTTGTCATATTCAGATCCAGCAGTATTACCTATTGTCCACTGAGTTTCAGTTCGAAAGTGATTGGACAGTTGGAGAGCCTTCCCTCGTCAGTCGGTTCTCCATAGTCGATTACGTATTCCACATCACTTTTATCCAATCAAATTGAAAATGAAGTTTTCGGTCAATAGAATCAATCTTAGAGCTTGCTCATTGTGATTTTCTGATTCCCCTAGTCGATTACCTCTATTGTGAAAGTTTCACGACTGTATGTCTCCTCGAAAAAATGCGAGTAAATATTATATTTTATTTTAACATATGAGTGATTCTGGTCACGCAGTAATCAACATTGCGGCTTTTATACGTTATTCAGACAGACAGCAATTATACTCAAAAGAGAGATCTTGGTAAAGGTATTAATAAGCAAGTTTTTATTAATGAGCATTTATCGTCGTTAAATCGTCAATTGTATAATTATGCTCGACGTCATCCAGATAAAAACAAAGTTTTCACGCGGAATGGGAGCGTAATGCTGTATCAAGGTCAAGGTAATAATTTACACTTGTCATCGTTCGACGTAATCAATCGTCTTAAACAGTCTTAGTCACATAGCGAATAGTCTAGGTGTATGTGTTGCTTCATATGGTAGTTCTTGATCGTCAACATTCATATTGTATTCTTCATTTGATGAGTCGCTAGAATCCGAAATTTTCGAATTTTGTCGTCGCTCAGACTTGCGTTTCTTGACTGACTTCTTCGCTTAGTGAATCTAGGCATCCTAATCTAATCTAGTTGAAATGAGAATGGTATTATCTCAAAACAAAGTATATATTATTGGCACATATCGTTATATTATTGGTTTTTGAGAAAAGGATTTCTAGAGACCATGCACATGTGGCCTTTTCCTTTCCGAAAAATGCAACCTGAAATTTCGGTTCTTTTGGGCATTCTGCATTCTATAATACAAAAAAATGTCATTTTACATTCTGAACTGCAAAAAAGCCAGATTTCGCCTTCCAGGGGAGCATGAGGGTGAGTAAAGAAATACTATTTCTGGTCTTCCCCGAATGAAGTTAGCTTAGTAGCTGAGGTGACTCTGTGTTGTGGATTCCAGGCACATTGGGGGAGTATACTATTAAAATGATGGCTACTATCTTTCACATAGAGATGTGGGGAACGAATTTTTTCTGAAATGGTGCTGGATGCTAATACACTTCGCTACTATGAGGAGACGCTAACCTGTAATAAACAGCTCTCGATATCACTCAGTGGCCGGGAATCTTATTATTCTGAGAACTGAGGCGCAGGGTGTGAGTGAACATTCCGTTTCCCGTTGTTCGAGCGTACCGCTCATAAGAGACTAATCAGTAAGCTTGTGCCAGAATACCATGCACAATCAACCGTATGCTAACCTGCCTAATCACAACAATGACAGACGTCCAGACAAACTCAAAGAGTCGACCTCTTCGACGCAACTTCGGTTGATAATATCTAAATATCTAACTAGCCTACAAAATGTGAACCTGCACAAACTGTAAATATCTAAATATCTAGTGGGGGTAGATTTCCAAATATCTAAATATCTAGGGTAGGGATGCATTTCGATATATCTAAATATCCATATATCTAGGGGAGGTACGTTTGGTAATATCTAAATATCTTGGGGGCGGGTCATTTTTTCCGCTGTAGAAAAAACTGCAGGCTGCAAAAATGAAAAGGACACAGATGCATTTTGGTCATAACGCCTGTTATTAAAATAACCTTCCCTCTTATCTTATCATCCTAGTAAACACGATTTTTCTCGACGCAGGAAAGGAAAAATGGATCGAGTTTTTGTGACTGGTGGTATGATGAGTCGAATGAGATAAAATATTTTACTCCATTACTTACGTGAAAAAACTAGATAGGTTTACAAAATCGACCTATACCTAGTGGACTCGACGAGATTCGAAGCGCCGCCACCAATAGAGTTTTGGGTCTGGAATCAATTTAACAAATTTTTTATATTCAGTTTTTGACGCTGAATCTGAAAAATTATTTTCAGAAGCTCGAAAATTTTTCATATTTCGATGTGTTTTTCTCAAAAAACGACGCATTTCGAGTATTTCGTATTTTTCGACCTGAAGGAAGTATTTGCTAAGGCTAAAAAGTGGTTTTTCGTGATCAGCAGCCAACGTTCTATCAAATGATATAAAAAAACGCTACAAAACAATCATGTACGAGAGATGCTTTGTTATTTCAGACACACTCGATTCACGTGTTACTCGCTAAAAGCCAAAAATAATATCAGGTAGTATATCTGAGTGAGTGATACGGAATGTATCCGTATACTGTGTATATTTACCTTGCACTGTTCTTTATGTACTGTGTGCATGTCAGTATCATCATTTTTTAACATCCAAGCATTCCAGTCGTAATCGAGCAAAGTGACGTCGAATCAAAAAAGATATAACTTACGGTAATGGCTAAGTTTAATACAATGACAGTTAAGGGTACCCTTCCTGTCTTTTTGGGCTTTCCGTAGAAATGCTGTCAAAAACAAACTAAAATCACTAAGGCTTCATATTTTCAGAATGGATTGGAAACTCAACAGAGCATTTTTTCGTATTTTTCTTCCAAAGTTTTAACTATTACCGTTCACCAGTTTTTACAGAAAACTCGGTTTTTTATTGGATCAAATTACGACTTAAACTTCATCCAATCAAGTTAAAAATTTTACCAGAGGTACTCAAGGCACTGTTGCAGAGTTATTCTTGAAATTTTACTTTAGACCTTTCTTTACCGAGTTATATCATAGAAACGAAGTTCACTCGGATCTTCTGTTTGTATAAGAAGAAATGTACCATTAAATGAAGCTGTTGACCATATTTGTTTTGCATCATACGGAATTGTTTCTTTTAATTGCCCATTGGAATCAAGTAAATAGAATTTTTTTGACTTCAATGTGTTCACCAAAAATTGTCGGTTAGGAAGTGAAAGAAGCCAGCAGTTTCTATCTACACCAATGTCTGTGACTTGTAGCACATTCATATCATTTGAACCACGTAATTCAAACACAAGACGATAATTAGGATGATTTTTGTCGCTAAGCATAACTCCAAGATGAGTACCACTACTACTGAATCGAATACAACGAATATATTGGTTTTCTTGACATGATAATGGTGGATGGTATGTCCTTTTTGGTTTCCAATTCGATAGACTGTATTCTTCAATTAGTGCTGCTTCACTGCAACTACTTACAATAAATGTCTCTTCATAACAAGTACAGCTCCACATTGGTTGACTAAATCCTTTAATTTGTTGTGTTTTACTAGCAGTTATATCTAATAAATAAAGCACTGTCGGTGATAAGATAAGAAATTGACTTAAGTACGATGCCCAACAAATATCCCAAACTTCATAATCTCGTCTTATATGCAGTTTCTCATTTCCTTGTTCATTAAGTAGCGAGAGACTACGTTTTGGGCAATAAACTAAATATTTTTCATTACCGTCCATGGAACTACAATCTCTGTTAATACTCATAGACAAAGTTGGCTTCTGTTTCAAAACATTCAGATTCATTAAAGTGGAAACGTCTTTTTTTGGCTTAGTTGTGAAGGGCGGTAGCGTTGAAACGACGCTTACATGTGATAAAGAGTCAGTCATCGATTCAGTACTCGAAGGACTTTGCAGTTCAGTGGTAGGCGGTGGAAAATTGCAAGGTGATTGAATCATTACACAAGGTGGCTCAATTTGTCGAAGAGGAATGATTCTCAAGTTGTTATTTTGTTCAATATTACCGATAACTTCAAAGTAACTACACGGCAACAACAACACTTCACATTCATCAGGAAAACATGAATGATTTTGTATTAATTTCCCATTGTAACATTCAATACTGAAAAGTGTACGAGCTCCTGTTTCACCAAGAAACTCTTCTGATTGTAATATATTAATATGCTTCGTACAACTGGATAAACCCCACCAAAAGAACTGTGTCTTGGGTGAATATTCTACTTTTAAATCACCTTTAACACCACGCCAAACGACACCCTTAAAATCCGTCAACTTCCACAGTGCAGTGAGTAACAGTTTCAAATAGGAGAAGTAGGGAATGAGGTGCTGACGTTTTGCGCTTCGTAGAACAGCATTTAGTTGCCGGTGAAGACATTCAGTAGTATAGAGATGAATAGCTCCTGATTCATCGATTGACAGTCCGTCCTTTGGTTGTTCTTCGCAATTGCCAAGGGTTGACCAAACGTAACTTTGAATTGACGGAATGATTGACTGGAGCGTTTCGACAGCTTCTTTTAATGAAAGAAGCGGCTTTAGTTCATAGCCTTCGATAGGGCCTAGCGGTTTTTGTGGTTCATTATTAACATCAAGAAAACGTTCATTCGATGGGAGAGCATTTGTTGCCATGTGTGGGCGTGTTTATGTGTGCGGAAGGTGTTCTTCTACTGCGTGAAAATAAAATTTTAAATACGTGAAAGAATGAAACACAGAAATGCTTTTCATTAGAAAATTTGGTGCTTGCTCTGCGCTGAACTAAATTGGATAAAATTTAGGCATCAGGTGCAAAATTTGTCGATGAATCCGCCAGCGGGTTCCTTATAGTTACATCTTCACTTCTTTTTTGGCGGCGACATAATCAACGTGGTTTTTGCCTTAATTTTATTTTTCTTATTGGCGCCTTTTTTTTTCAACCAATGAGAAAAATAAAATTAAGGTAAAAAACCACGTTGATTATGTCGCCGCCAAAAAAGAAGTGAAGATGTAACTATAAGGAACCCGCTGGCGGATTCATCGACAAATTTTGCACCTGGTGCCTAATTTTTATCCAATTTGGTTCAGCGCGGAGCAAGCATCAAATTTCCTAATGAATAAAATGCAATAAAAACAAAACAACAAATATGAGTGTTCTGTTTCTCTTCACTCAGTCAGTCTCCTGTGCACCATTTTTCATTCCAATGTTTAAAAAATAAGAAAATTACGCTGACACATGCACAGTTTTTTCTTACTCTTTTTGCAATAGAGAGAACTGGAAGCAGAAAATGTTGTGTTGAGTAATTCGAGATGACTGTCGCAAAAGTACTGAGAACGAACACTTCCTGCCCAACCCTGTGTGTAAGTTTTTGGCAAAAAATGAAAGTCGAAGTCTTTTGAGCAGAGGAACAAACATTGTTCCAGACTCTAGGAAACATGGAGATCTAACCACCAATGTCTGAAGTTGGACTTGTCGCATAAAAGCCAACTGATTTGCTGTTACGATTTTAAAAAACAAATCACTAATATTACAATAAGAACCAGTTTACAGATCGAGAGACATGAGAAGAGCTCTGGTAATGTAAACCGAACCTTTAAAAATGCTGATAATATTTTTTTTGTTAGTTTGAACTTAAAATATATTTTTAAAACTGTCAGAAGACAGAGGTTCGTATTTTAGTGCATTATCAGAAGAAGAGATAGTATTTTTAATTCGAATCTATAGAAAATCTGGCCGAAAGATCATACTAATTGCTAAATAATAATAAGTTCTCTAGAACGGATTGTATAAACAGACTGCTGCATCTGACATCTCGAGATAAAACTGAGCTTTAAGAAAAACCTCAAATCATGTCTGTGTACTTATGAATTTTATTAAGCTCCCACCCCCAAAGATGGCCAAACATGAACATGATACATATTTCAGCTTCAAGAGGACAAAATGAAGTATGAAACGTACCTGCCTACTGCCATACACTTATATATTGTTTATGTGTCCTTCCGTACATTTAACGTGTAAGTGAATATGAGGAGTATGAAGAATGTGAATAATATGAGGAATATAGAAACTTGTTTTTCGAACGCCTTACTGGTGCGGTTTTTAGTCGATCGATGTTCTCCCGTTCACCCTCGAAGAGTGAAGACACCTGCACAACAGGAGTGGTGATAGCGTGTGTGTGTGTGGTGAGAGTGAGCCACTCGACAACATTTTCATATTGTGATGAGAAACAATTAGAGTTCTCTATGTCGCTATGAATGAGAAGGTATCGCGTTCCTCCTATGGCAAAAGGGTAAAAGAAACTTCTCGTTAGCCTGTTTTTCTTAAAAACAACTCGAACAAGAAATTTAGATTCAACCGAGAAGACAAGAATGGGAAGAAACACTTTCAAGTATATCCGCCACCCTCTGGTGAAGGTTCCAGTCCAAATGATGCTTTCGAATCAGACTATTATCGGCGCCAGAAGTCAAGGCAGGTGGATGTTTTTTGAATAAGTCGAAGACGATGATCGATAGAGGGTTGCGGTTTTCACTAACGAAAAGAGAACTATTTTCCCGGCCTTTTCACAAGGAACTCGGAAAAAGTTTGAAGATGGCCCTGTATGTTTGTTTACTTGAATATATTGACAGTCTTTGACTTTTTTACGTTTCTTATAAAACTAAGTATATTTAAAATAATTGAAAAACATTTTTATAAAATGATTTTACAAAAATGTTTTTCAATTATTTTAAATATACTTTGTTTACTTGAGAATAGTAAAAAACATTGCGGTACTTCGCAAGATTTCTAGAAAATCCGGTATTCTAGGCCGAACCGAAACTAAGAAGTCGCTTAGATCCAAATATTTAGAAGCCATGTTGGGCTATATATCTATGAAAAAAAGTGGTATATCGTTACGTGAGGTTCCACAGATATGAAGAGATTTCCCACAGATCCTCTGAAAAACCTATCTTCAAAATTTTTTCGAGTTCCTTGTGAAAAGGCTGGGAAAATAGTCCTCTTGATATTAGTGCAAACCGCAACTCCCTATAGATCAAAATTCGTAATTTCAGATTTCTTAGTAACGAAACGTTGTGGAGAGCTCGAACTGGTCTTAAATTGACGAAAACACATATGGCTAGAGGCCAATGGAGTCGGGTTTTTAATATTTTACTTTTCAATTTAATGGTCAGCGTCAACAGTCAAAAATTTGAAAAAGTCTCATTAGACCTGCATAAAGATGTTTTTCTAATCACAAATCTGGACCGAATATCAAAAATGGGGCTGCCCTAGCCACATGTGTCAGCTTCGATTTAAGACCTCCCCGAGCTCTCTGCGATGCTTCACTACCGAGAAATCTGGGAGCTTCGAATCAGTGTTAAGGCGAAAGTCGCTTTCAAGATATGGTGGCACCAGTATCTAATGCATGTTTTAGGGCTTCAAGCAAAACTCCCATAACTCTTGATCAGAACCCA